ACAAGCATTGTAAGATGGATAAGGAACAGGCTAAAGGAGAGAAGGCAATCAGTTATGCTGAAAGGTGAATTATCGGACTGGAAGGAGGTTACTAGTGGAGTTCTTCAAGGATCAATCTTGGGGGGGGAAAGCTTGTTTAATATTTTTTTAGTGACTTTGGCACAAAAAGTAGGAGTGTACTAATGAAATCTGCTGCTGATACAAAGTTGGGAGAAATTGTCAATACGGAGGAAGCTTGGAGTATTACACAAGAAGATCTGGATGACCCTGAAAATGAGTGACAGAAATGGGATGAAATTCAATAGTACAAAGTACAAGGCCATGAACTTAGGGTCTAATAGTAAAAATTTCTACTGCAAACTGGGGGCTCATCAGTTGGAAATGACAGAGGAGGAGAGAGATACTGGGCATGTGAGCTGATCACAGGATGACTGAGCTACCTGTAAAAAAGGCATATGCGATCCTAGGATATATTAGGTGAGGCATTTCCAATAGAGAGAGAGAAGTATAAATGCTGTTGTACAAAGCACTGATAAGACCTCATTTGGAATACTGTGTACAATTCCAGTTACCTATGTTTAAGAAACATTCTACACCAACTCAAAATGCTGCATTAAAATGGAAAATGGATTGAGTAAGCCATTCAGCATCAAGACAGGTGTAAGGCAAGGGTGTGTCCTGTCTCCCTTTTTGTTTACGCTAGTCATCGACTATGAGTTAAAACAATGCAACAGTGATACAAATGGCCTAAAATGGAATGATTCAAGGCTATTTGATCTGGACTTTGCTGACGACATCGCTCTTATCAGTGAAGATGCCAACGGACTACAAAAATGCACAAACCAACTAAAAGAAGTAATGGAGAAGATAGATTTGAGATACAATGTAAAGTTATGTTAATTGGGATTATAGGGACAGAAATCAAAATTGAAGAGAAACTCGAGAAGGTGGACAATTTTACGTATCTTGGAAGTACCATGAGCCAAGATGGCACTAGTTCCGAGGAAATAAAAAGAATTGGGAAGGCAAAGGCTGCATTTGGAAGACTCAAAAACATCTGGCAACTCAAAAACATCTCCCTCAACACAAAACTGAATGTGTACAAAGCAATTGTTATCGCAATCACAACATATAGCAGTGAGACATGGCAACTTACCAAGAAAGAGATACAAAAGCTGGATGCATTTCATCACAAATGTCTGAAGAATATTGGGAATAATATATAGACAGGAAGACAAATGAAGAAGTCAGAAAAATGACTGGACAAGGCACCCTCTCACAAATAATCTAGAAAAGAAGACATCAGCGGCTGGGATATGTGCTGAGAATGGAAAAAGAATGCTTACCAAATACCGCCCTTGAATGGAAGCCAGAAAACGCAAGAAGAAAGAGAGGAAGACTGCAATCAACATGGAAACGAACAGTTCTGAACAACATCAAGCACCTCAACTTGAAATGGGAAGATTTGGAGAGAAGGGTAGTTGACTATCAAGGATGGCAAATGTGGGTAGCTCAATGTGCAGCAAAGCACGGGGTGGACAAAGATCTAAGGGTATTTAAGAAAAATTCATTTAAACTGGAACAGGTACGGAGAAGAGCTACTAGGATAATCAGGAGACTAGAGGGCCTATTTGATGAGAAATGACAGGACGAGCTTGGCTTGTTTAGTCTAGCAAAAAGAAGGCTGAGAGGAGATATAATTGCTCTCTCTAGATTGTGGGGGGGAAAGGAAGAAAATACCAGGGAGGATGAAGAGCTACTTAAGCTAAACAACAATATTGGTATAAGAACATATGGATATAAACTGGCCATGAACAAATTCAGGTTGGAAATTAGAAGAAGGTTTCTAACCATCAGAGGGGTGAGGTTCTGGAACAGCATCTGTGGGGACAAACACCTTAATTAGTTGCAAAAGAGAGCTGGACAAATTTGAGTGCACTGTATAATGGGATTACTTGTGATGGTAGGGGGCAGGGCCCAACACCCCCTGGGCTCTTCTCCAGTTTGTCTATGGGCGGTGGGTGACCGACAGGCCTACGTAGGTTAGCCCCTGGCTAGCTCGCCCATTCTGCCTGGGGTCCTGCCCCTTCCTTCCCCCACCTGGGGCAGATGCAGGGTCCGCAACTCCGTGGCGCCTCACACCTGCCCGTGCAGCTCTTACCATGGCCAAGCTGCAACTCCGAGGCCCCACCCCAGCCGGAATCGGCTCGGAAAGAGCTGCGCAGGCAGCTGTGGGGAGCCGGTATGAAGTTGCGGAACCCACACCTGCCCTGGGTGGGTGGGGAGCTTTGGGGGGGCAGAGACATGGGCTGGGGGCTGCTCTTAGCCCCCCAGGCACATGGAGGGTCCACTGTGGTTCCCCACAGCTGCCCGGGCTCCACTCTGGCCTGGACAGAGGGTAAGGGGTGGGGTCTGTCCTGGTGAAAACTGGGCGGGTCAGGCCAGTCCACTTTCAAGAAGTGGGAGGGCTATGGCCCCCCTCCCCCACAGTTCAGGTGCCACTGGCCCAGGGCTCGGCCACATGGGGAAAAAAAGCCGCAGGCCCCTGGCAGGAAGCAGGAGGAGGTCTGGGGGTGAAGTACAGGTGCGGCCACACCGGCAGTTTGGGTAGGCTGAGCCTTCCTCTGCCTTTGATACCTGCCACCCATGAGTTTGTCTTATGTTTCTAAAGTTCATACTTCAGGGTTTTAGCCGGCCAGGGTCAGGAAGAGATTCCGTTCCCTCCCGGTCCCTCAATATGTTTTGGGAGATTTTTTTTAATTTCCTTCCTCTGAAGCATCAGGAATGGCCATGACTGGAAATGGGACATTGGTTGGGGGGGACCAGAGCTCCAAGGTGGTAACGGTATTCTGCACCTACTGAGCCTCTAGTTGAAGTGCTCCTTGCTGCTGTTGAGGTGGCCTGTGTACGGCTTCATCAGCCATGGGAGTAAAGGGTAGGCTGGGTCTCCTAGGATCACTATTGGCATTTCAACATCCCCAATAGTAATCCTCTGGTCTTGAAAAAACTCCCCGATTGCAGCTTTCTGAACAGGCCTGTGTTCTTAAAGATGTGAACATCATACACCTTCCTTGACCAGCCAACATTGATGTTGGTAAAATGTCTCCAGTGATCCACCAGTGCTTGCAATACCATAGAAAAGTAGCCCTTTCTGGTGATGTATTCTGAGGCAAGGTGGTCTGGTGTCAAAATAGGGAGATGCGTGCATGCCATCTATCACCCCACTGCAATTCAGGTGCCCCATTGCTGCAAAACCATGCACTGTGTCCTGCATGTTGCCCAGTCACAGTCCTTCATAGTAGAATGTAATTAATGGCCCTGCACATTTGCATCACAGCAACCCCCACTCTAGATTTCCCAACTCCACATTGATTCCCGACTGATCGGTAGCAATCTGCTGTTGCAAGCATCCACACAGCGTTCACCGCTTACTTCTCCACTGTCAGTGCAGATCTCATTCTGGTGTCGTTGCACTGGAGGGCTGGAGTGAGCTCTGCACACAGATCCAGGAATGTGGCCTTGCGCATTCGAAAGTTCTGCAGCCACTGCTCATCATTGCAAACCTGCATAACAATGCAATCTCACCAGTCAGTGCTTGTTTCTCACACCCAGAACTGGCACTCCACTGTCTGCAGCTGCTCTGTGAATGCCAACAACAACCTTGAATTGTTTTGATCTGTCCCACAGCAATCTAGCCTCCAAAGAATCATGTTCCCTATGGCTCCTCTGGCAGCTCCGCAAATATTGTCCTGTGCTCGCAATGCTCATCACAATAGCACAGAGCTGTGCAGGATCCATGCTTCTCAGAGATGGCAGGAGCGCGGGGCTTTTTGAAAAGAGGCATGAAACATTATGGGATGCAGATAAAATTATGGGATGGAGAAAACTGCATTATGGGACATTGAAATCATATTTGCAGTCACCCCTGTGTGCGTTTGCCCAATGTGGTATTGCAAACCGTCCCCAAAACACCCTGCTATCCCACTGTGCAAGTTGCCACTCACAGTGCACAGCTCTCTGCATTCGTGCAAGTGCTGGGTGTGAGGATGCACACCACCAACACAAGGAGCGAAGTGTGGACGTGCAAAAGCGATTTAATCATTGTGATGGCTGTACGTCGATGTAACTTAGGTCTACATAATTTTGTAGTGTCGACGTACCCTGAGTGAGCCAGAGTTAGAAGCAGCAATCAGTCACTACACAGACTCAGAGAACTTAGAAGTAAGGCTGCATGTTGGTCACGGATTCCGTGACTTTACATGATCTCCGTGAATTTTGCAGTGGTCGATGCGGTTGGCTCAGGGGCTGCCCAAACACGAGGGCAGCTCCTAAGCCAGCAGCAGCAACAGTTTGAGTATGGGAGGGGACTCAGGACTGGGTCAGGGGGTTGGGGTGCGGGGTGGCACTTAGCTGGAGAAGGGGGACTCTGAAGCAGCTGGCATGTCCCTGCAGCTCCTGACCGAAGCGGTTCCCAGCCAATGGGAGTTGCGGAGCTGGAGTTAGTGGCGGGGGCAGCATGCGGACCCCCCGTGGCCTTCCCTCTCCCTAGGAGCTTCAGAGACACATGTAGCTGAGTAGGGAGCCTGCCAGCCCCGCCAACCCTCCTCCCCCCCAAGCACCAGCAGGAGTTCCAGGCTGTGCACTGCTGCCTAGCTCCCCCCCCACCAGTGCCAGCAGAAGGCCTGGGCCGCACACCACTGCCCGCCTCCCCTGAGCCCCTGCAGTTGCAGCCCACGCTAGCCCCCTTCCCCAGCACCAGAAAGGGTCCTGGGCCAAACGTCACCACTAGATCCTCCCCCCCCCACCCCAGCACCAGTGGGGGTCCTGGGCCATCACCACCCAGACTGCCCCCCCAGAGCATCCGCAGCCCCCTGCCCAAGTTTTAGTTAGGGGTATATAGTACAAGTCATGGACAGATCATGTGCCGTGAATTTTTGTTTACTGCCTGTGCCCTGTGCATGACTTTTACTAAAAATACCGATGACTAAAACGTAGCCTCACTTAGAAGTATCCAAAGGTGGGGTCCAATAGAGCAGATTGGTAACTGTCCATCGGGGGGGGGGGGCACAAAGATTCACCCAGGACTGTAACAAGCTTCTCAAGTGTTACTGTGGAATTCATTATTGTGGGATGTTACTGAGGCCAAAAGCTTCACAAGATTTACAAAGGAACAAGACACATAGGGATAACAAGAATAACTTGATCGGTCTTTAAGTACCTACATGAGAAACTGTGGCAGGGTGCTGGTTGAGAAGCCCTTAATCATCTCCTGCCACTCCAGTCCTAATCAAGGGGAATGGATTGAGGCTGGGTGAATAGCCTGGCTGTACCTGCCAGTCTTATTAGCCCAACACTATAAAGGCTGGGAGGAAGCCAGAGATTGGGGAGGGAAAGAGAAAGAGAAAGAGAAAGATCAGGCACAGAAGGAAGTGGGAACGGGCTCCTTGTAGTCTGTTGCTGGCCAGCCCTGTTGTAGGCAAAGTAGCTGTGAAGCCTGTATATAGTTGGGAACTGGTGGTGGGAAACCTTTTGAGAATAAAGAGCATGGGTTTGCATTAGACTGAAGTGTCCCTGATTCATTGAAGAGGGAGGCCCAGGGGCTGAATACTCAGGGGCACAGTGTGAACCGTGTTACAGAAACAAAATTGGAACAGTCCTCTGCTATCAATCTAGCAGGCAAAAGTATAACAGGATCCAATAACTAGAAGTTGAAGCTAGACAAATTCAGACTGGAACTAATGTGCAAATTATTAACAATGAGGGTAATTAACTGTTGGAACAATTTACCAAGGCTTGTGGTGGATTTTCCATCACTGGGAATTTTTAAATAAAAATTGAATGGTTTCTCTAAAAGAGATGCTGCAGTTCAAACAGGATTTAATTCAGGCTGTGTTACACAGGAGGTCAAACTAGATGATCAAATGGTTTATATGATTCTGTAGTTTTATAATCTATGAATATCCAGAGTTATCATAAACACTAACCAATTTTTGGAAGAGAGGTTAAACCTCATGTTTCAGAGTTTAATTTCTAACTATCAGGGAATAGAAGGAGCGCAGGGCGAGTGTACATGGGGGAATTAATAAACTATTCTGCTATTGCTGTTCCAGAATATCTATTCCAGTAATTTCCCTGCATAGACAAACTTTTAATGGGAGAGTGGATTATCCCACATCTGCCTAATATGAGATTTCTTGTACCTTTCTCTGAATCCTCTGATACTGGGCACTGTCAGAGACAGAATACTGCACTAATCAGACCACAGGCCTGATCCAGCCTGGCAATTCTTAGGTTTCTTAATTTGATAATCCTCACCTCTAATTGCCTCTGCTCTACTTTATGGTCAGACCTCATGAGATTAAGCTTTCTAGCAAGATTGGTCTGGGAATTCAATAACAGCCTATCACCATTTACAACGAGGAGTACTTGTGGCACCTTAGAGACTAACAAATTTATTTGGGCATAAGCTTTTGTGGGCTAAAACCCACTTCATCAGATGCATGGAGTGGAAAATATAGTAGGAAGTTTTATATATATATATGTACACACAGTACATGAAAAGATGGGAGTTGCCTTACCAAGTGGAGGGTCAGTTCTAATGAGACAATTCAATTAATGTGGGCTATTATCAACAGGAGGAAAAATCACTTTTATAGTGGTAATCAGGGTGGCCCATTTCAAACAGTTGACAAGAAAGTGTGAGTAACACTAGTGCAGGGGTCAGCAACCTTTCAGAAGTGGTGTGCCGAGTCTTCATTTATTCACTCTAATTTAAGGTTTCATGTGCCAGTAATACATTTTAACGTTTTTAGAAGGTCTTTCTATAAGTCTATAATATATAACTAAACTATTGTATGTAAAGTAAATAAGGTTTTAAAAATGTTTAAGAAGCTTAATTTAAAATTAAATTAAAATGCAGAGCCCCCCCGGACCAGTGGCCAGGACCCGGGCAGTGTGAGTGCCACTGAAAATCAGCTCGCGTGCCGCCTTTGGCACGCGTGCCATAGGTTGCCTACCCCTGAACTAGGGGGAAATTAGCATGGGGAAATTAGTTTTTTAGTAACCCATCCACGCCCAGTCTTTATTCAGGCCTAAATTGATGGAGTCCAGTTTGCAAATTAATTCCAGTTCTGCAGTTCCCTGTTGGAGTCTGTTTTTGAAGTTTTTTTGTGGAAGAATTGCCACTTTTAAGTCTGTTATTGAGTGACCAGGGAGGTTGAAGTGTTTTCCAACTGGTTTTTGAATGTTACAATTCTTGACGTCTGAGTTGTGTCCATTTATTCTTTTGCATAGAGACTGTCCAGTTTGGCCAATGTACATGGCAGAGGGGCATTGCTGGCACATGATGGCATATATCACATTGGTAGATGTGCAGGTAAACAAGCCCCTAATGGTGTGGCTGATGTGGTTAAGTCCTATGATGCCCACTTTAATTGAATTGTCTCGTTAGAACTGACTCCCCATTGGTAAGGCAACTCCCATCTTTTCATGTACTGTGTGTTTATATATCTTCCTATTGTATTTTCCACTCCATGCATCTGATGAAGTGGGTTTTAGCCCACGAAAGTTTATGCCCAAATAAATTTGTTAGTCTCTAAGGTGCCACAAGTACTACTAGTTGTTTTTGCTGATACAGACTAACACGGCTATCCCTCTGAAACCTTTCAGCATATAGATACTTTCACAGTGAGTTAGAACCAGAAAGTGCAGAGGAAGGGAACAAGTGAAACCATTCTCCTCCCCTCCCTTCTCATTTTAAAACTTGTTTAAACCTTACAAAAGATTCATTTCAAATTTTGGGTGAAGGCATGCATATATTAGTGTTTTATCCAAACCATCTCTATTCAGCTAAGTACCAGCAGGAAAAAGCCATATAAGCAGACTTGAAAGTATTTGACAGCAGTTCAAACAGGTACAAATATATCACAATGCTTCGGTCCATACAATTTAAAAGAAACATATTGTGCCTGATGTGCTATATGTATGGTATGGGAGTTAATCCAAATGAAGAAAACCATGTTACATTATGTAGATAGGCCAAATTTTAACCTGGTTAGTACAAACAAACAAACAAACCTTAATATAGATTTTTCTATGACTCTACTAGTGAAATGTCAAAACTGCGGCAACTCGTAGCATGTAAATCCACTGACGAATAAAACTCAGGTTTAATCTCCTGAAAAATAGTTTAAAAAGAAGAAAATTATCTTAATTGCTATTTTTTAAAATCATATTTAAGCACAGATTTTTAAAGGTATTTAGGAATTGCACTCGGTATAACAACACATAACTGATTTAGAAACCTAAATATTTTCAAAAGGGATCTAGGATCTGAAGTGATTTAGACTCCTAAGTGCCTAGATCCCTTTTGAAAATATGTAGGTTCCAAAATCACTAAAGCAGTGCAACACTGCATACAGAAAGGCCTACATACCTTTACAAATCTGGGCCTTACTTTTATGAAACACACCCATTTTGTAGGGGTTATTACTGGATTTGCTTATTAAAGGCAAAACCAAAGAGGTGTTAATGCTAACTGCTGTAGTACAGTCACTGTTCAATTTACATTCAAGGGTAACATGAAAGCAATTTGAAAATGCTTAGAAACGTCTAACTACTTAAGTCATTGTGAGGTCTGTCTAGCACTAGGGAGTAGGAAAACCACCCCTCCAGAAGCTGCAGAAACCATCAACTCAGAACTGCTGAAATCATTCTCCATTACTACTAATCTGATGCATTTAACTTCAGCTGTGTCTTGTAAAGTGCCGGTTCATTAACCTGAACATTGTTGACAAGCTCATTATTTACACAGTCTGCTTGATTAGTGCAAGTGCTAACAATGACGGAGGACATTTCATCTACAGGAATTCATTGATACATCTCAAGCAGAGAGAACCCAACATTTCTCAGTCACGGATTGGAATTTACTGAAGATCTCAGGGAAGCGCTACACTACCAATGTACATCGGTGCAGCTCTCCCGTCGGTTTAATAAATCCACCTTCCCGAGAGGCGGTAGCTATCTCGGCAGAAGACACTCTCCCGCCGACATAGCACTGTCTACAAGAGGGATTAAGGTCAATATAACTACGTCGCTGAAGGCAGTGGATTTTTCAGACCTTGAGTAACATAATTATACTGAAGTAAATCGTGTAGACCACGCCTAAGGTGGGCACAGTGACCAATGGGCGGGTGGAGCAGGGCAAGCTCCCACATCCCGACCCCATTTCCATGGCAGGAGTGGGGCAGAGGGCGAACTGCAGGCAGAAGGGATGGGGAGAGGCCCCCACTTGCTCTAGCCCAGAGGCCCCACAAAACCCTAATCTGCCCCTGGGTGAACAGACAGAAATGACCACAAAAAAATACAGTGTTAGAGGATGAAACAGAGAATGAAAACTACATCTAAATGTCGCAAATCCTTTATACTGTGTCCCTCATTACCTTTAGCAAAGAGAGGAGAGACAAGAATATAAAAAAGGAGGATTGGGCCATCTTGAACCAAAATGAGTGTGGCATATTTACACTTTGGAATCAAAAGGTAACAGACACACAATAGCACAGAAATGCAAGCACCTCTAGGATGAGAGGTTGGTAATCAGTCACTGCAGGGAACTCTGGCTGCTAATAGGGTGAGGTGATTTGCTATGGTTATGAAAAGTATGATGAGATCTTTGATGGCTCCAGCAAACATTGCTTTTTATGGTCTCATTTGAAAGTTTACTGTGTGTTTGTATATCTAGATGGAGCTTATGTTTCTCTCAATCTAATGAGTAAAACGTATTTTTCTGAGAAAACTGTTATATCAGGTTAAGGAAAACAACAAAAGAACAAAAGTAAAGTCTCTATGAAAGAGCATTGTGTGTGTCTTCTCTGTAACATGCAAAATTTTTCTGCTTCATAAAAGTGCAGCTGCCGTCTCTAAACAGCAGACTCCTAGAAATCTAAAGATGCAGTACACAGAAATCAAAATAATAACTTACTGCTGCAACCTCACAGAATTCAGATTTTAGCTGGGACTGTATTATATTTTAAAATGTCACTCTTTGGAAGAAATGGAAATTACACATTTCTCTGATTTAACAGGGAAGCTCTTTTTGTAGAGGGGACACTTATTTCCATTACACTTTTCCAACGGAAACCCTCCTCACTGTCCCCAGTGAGCCTAGTCTATTTTATTTATTTAGATTCAAATAATAAAAGATGCCAGAGTCTTCACCAGGAATTGAAATTAGATTGGGTGTTCAAATCGATGGGGGGAGGAGGGGATGTTGGAAAATGACTAAACTGGCAACTATTTGACCACTGGGGGCAATGTGGGAGTTCAGGGGGATGTAGGGAAATCCATTGCCTGTATGAAACTTCAGGCACTGTCACACATCATTAACAACAGAATAAAATCCTAGCACTATTTAAATCATCAACTCAGCAGGAACTCAGCCGGCCACCTACAAAAACTCCTTTATTACTCCCTCATTGTTCTGGGAAGCATAACCTCAACCCTTTCCAGAAACCCTATCAAACAGATTTCTATTTTAGTAGATGGGACATCTTGTCTTCCCTTTACTGGATCAGTGTAAGGGCTTTTCTATACAGGGAAATTGCCCAGAATATCTATTGCAGAATAACTCCCTTCATGGATATTATTCCAGAATGAGTCATTTTTTCCCTGGAATAATTATTCCATTTTGTGAGAGCAGTAATTATGCTGGAATAAAGTCACTTTTATTTTGGAATAGTGTCCACATGGGGAGCCTCAGTAGCTATACCAGTTCATTTTCCTGTGAAGATGAGCCTTAAGATTTAAATAGTATGTTACGAACTGCACACTTTTCCCCCCTACCTACCCAATTAAAATCCTGTAGCAGGATATGTATTCTAGTACACACACCCTGCCGCGTCCAGTAGGGGGAAGTGCAAGCTCTCCATCTACTGGACCATTAGTGAAAAAGCTGCTCTGGGGATGGTAAAATAGATTTCTGGTGAGCAGCAGTGTTCAATGCTGAAGTCTGATGCAACAGCAATAGATCTTGGTTTTTTGCTCCACAGAGGAACTTCATTTGTTTTAATCTTACTTGCTGTGTTCTGATATTGTGACTGAACTCAGTAGGATCTGGAAAAAATGACATTCAGATTTTTTTTCCTTCAGGGATGTGTATGGTCTTGTTATGTGATAACATTTGTGAAAGTTCTTCTCATTTACACAGTTGGGTCAACCACAGTTTGTCTTCAACTGGATGGAAGCGTTTGTTCTTAAGAACATTTCACCAGAAATATTTACATAGGGCAACGTTTTTGAAAGTCAATGGGAGTTGTGCTCCTAAGTCACTTTGTACTTTTGAAAATCCCAAACACAATCTACCAGATTCTGGTGTCCTTCAGGGACATGGTATGGTCCAGGTTGGCAGGGCCGGCTTTAGGAAGTGCAGGGCCCAATTCGAACATTTTCTGTGGGTCCCCAGCAGGGATGACTAAACGTAAAAAAGACCTTTCATTTCTTCCATGTATTATTTACTTTCCATACATATATAAATAATAAAATTATATATTATGTACATTGCGTCATATATGCTGTTGATCGGTTATTAATGAGCTCCGTTTCACATGTGTGGGTCCCTGCCATTCCCTGGGGTGCTGTGCACATGTGTGGGTCCCAGCTTCTCCCTGCCCCCCTCATTGAAGCAGGTGTGCAGGGTTACTGCCCTGGGAACTGCAGGGCACCACTGGACATGGGGCTGGCTGGAGGCAGGGCAGGGGCTGACTGGAGGTAGGGTCTGGCTGCAGGCAGGGCAAGGGGTGTGGGG